GACCTAAGAAGATGACAGAAATGGCTAAAGACGAGTCAATCAGCCGCCAGATCCAAAAGAAGCTTTCAAAACGAGGCGTTTATGTCGATTCCTCCACAGTCCGGGGATTGCGCAAAGAGCAAAGGTGGACACTTCAAAAGTCAAAGTACTGTTAGCTTATCTGCGACATGAACAAGATTAAAAGACTGGAACTTGTGCACAGGGTTTTGGACACTGAGGAAACATTTGATAACATTATTTTCAGCGACAAATGTTCATTTTCCCTCCAACACTTCCACCCCACTTGGTTATGTGAAGGTTGGCAAGCTACCCAAGAGAAAACCAAAACCAACGCATCCAGTCAAACTCCATGTCTGGGCTGGGATCAGTAGGCATGGAGCTACCAAGATCTGCAACTTCGAGGGTGTAATGGAGGCTGACCTTTAATGTAACAGTTTGGAGGGTACCCTGATTCCATTCATCCGAGAGATATTACCTAATCATCGGTTTATGCAGGAAAATGACCAGAAACACAGTTCGAAAGTTGCAAAGGCCTTCTTCAAGGAGAATCAACTGGTGGCGAACCACTCCTGAAAGCCCCGATCTAATCAAAAGCAGGTTTTAATGACATATCCCTATGGTGTTGTACAGTTATACGCTACATGAACAGCCTGGTAATGGTCTTTTTCACTTATTATGGGAGATCCCCCATAACCTTGTAGATGCTCCAGCACTACTCCAGAAAAGGGGAGATGGATGCATGGGTCACTTGTAAGGTGCCACTCATCCATGTTTCCTTTGAAAGAGTACTTGTTATGTTGCATCTCTTCCTTTGTATCATGGGAAAGCTTTTCAACCAGGTAAACTTTTCATGTTTTCATATGAAGTCAATCAGTTTCAGTTCCTTGCAGAAAAACATTTTTTTGGTTTCTTTTTTTTGGTCACCTTACATGTATACCCTTCCAATAGAACAGACTTCTTTCCTCCATGTATAGAATGAGGTTTACAAAACAAAATGGAGGAAGGGATAAAATTTCACCACAACATGATCTATCTATTGATGCAGGGACAAACTGTGCATTGTTTTTCAAGATCAGAACACTTTGATTACTAGACGGTCTCCACAGAATATTGTGACCATAACGGTTATTTTTCCTAATGGTTCTTTATAGGTTGTTAGAAAGGAAGAACAACAGATAAGAACAACAAATAGAACAACATGTTGAAAAAGCCATCAAAAATTACATTCCGCTTTCGTTTAAGTTTTCCAAAAGAAATGGTCAAGTAGAAATGAAATACAAAGCATGGGCCAACGATAAAAAGTGGTTACCTGAAGGTCCTTGTTGTCAAATGTTAAATGGCTTTCCTGAAGGAAAGACGCTGAGCGTACATACATCAGCTCAAAGGAAGTGTGTTAAAATACAAAACACCTAGTCTGGAAAACCGACAGTGGTGGGATGAATCTGCATCTGATGAAATGCTAAGAGATGACAACAAACAACAATGCCCTTTGAAAAGGCTAAAAGCAACCATTTCTCCTAAAAAAACGAATCCAGTTCATGCTGACCAAGGAGAACGAGAAAAGAATTGGAGTGTCTTTTGGAAAAGTCAAAGAACTACCAAAATGTAAGTCAGTTACCACGAATGCCCCTCTGATAATAAAAA